GCCCCACCGCACCAAGCCAAGGAGGGATGCTTGGCGCTGCCCACCGAAGGCTGGGTGGGACCCAAGCCCTGGGGAGGCCGCCTGCCAGTGTGCAGAGGCCTTCACGTGGCTCGGTCACACCAGCCCCACTTGTGGGGAGGGAAACCCATGCATAATGGAAACTCCTCACAACACAATGTGGAAAAGCAATTTCAAGAATCATTTTTATTTTCATTTTGAAGCCAAGGAAAACAGTTGGATTTGCTTTTCTTTGTTGGTCATAGGAAGAAACTGAGGAGCACCACTTTGACTGGAGTTGAGTTCTTCTCCAGGCCTAAGAAGGCTGGAATGCTGGGGGGTTATTTCTCTCGGGATGCAATTAGTTGAATAAATATGAAGAGAGCAAAAGTAAACAAACTCATTACTGCCCATTAAGAACTGCCAAACTAACAAAAAACTGAGCGAAGCGGGGTGGAATCTTTAAGGAAAATAAACGACTCAAGATCGAGGGCAGCGCAAAGAGCACAACCCGTGGTGTCAGGCTGACCCAAGCTCCAGGCTGGGTCAGCTCTGCCTCTTATCTGCCATGTGCTCCTGGGCAAGTCACTTGGCGTGTCCAGGTTTCAGTGCCCCATTTACAAGACGGAGGAACACCTAGGGCAGTGTCTGTCAGGTACCCAGCACCGTGCCCCACTCCTTCCGCTCCTTCTCGTAACCCAGTCAGCTCCAGGTCATTCCCGCTAAGCCCTGATCCCCAGGAAATGTGACAGTAAGACCAGGAATCATGCAGCTTCACCACTGGTCCCACCACGAGCAACGCCACCTTGAGCAAGGCACCTGACACCTCTCTGAGCTCCAGTTTCCTCACCCTCAAAACGGCATGCTACTACTAACCAGCTCTGAACACTGTAATGATTAAACAAGACAATGTGCGTGCAAAGGGCCTTGAAACTGAAAACCCGCAGAGTATTGTCAAGTTTCCGTCCTCTCTTTAATCAAATAATCGTGAGAAATGCTCTTTAAAGACAGCACAGTCTCTGACTGTGGCCGCACATCTCTGGCCTCCCCCTCTGTGCCCAGCGCTGTGTGAGATGCTGGGGACACCAAGAGAGCCAGGACCCAGTCTAACCAGCAGAGCTTCCAGGGACCCCAACTCTGTGGCATGGAACAAGTCCATCAGCGCGAAATGGGAGAATTAATCATGGTATCTCCACGGGGTGACGCTAACAGTCCCGGACAAACTGCCTGCACATGGTCAGTGCTCCACCGTTAGCCAGGCTTTGCTGTCTGCTGTCAGGTTATCCCCATCTCTAGTTTGCAGAGCACTTCCATGTTCCTTACCTAGTGTGCAAGGCGGGTTGAATCACCCACTTCACAGAGGCTCAGCCTTCGGGATCTCAAGTCCAAGAGTACAGAACTGCGCTGGGGAGGCTGTGCGAGCCCACGCTCGGGAGGGGACAGAGCTCAACCATAAACAGTGCTGCCCTGCCAGGCCCTGAGGCATGGGAAGGTTTGGAAGCCAACCCTTTCCTGGAGCCAAGCTGCCTCCCTGGGCATCTGGCAGTTTCTTGGCCAAGGTGGAGGCCCTCGCCGGCATCAGGATCAGCATCGGCCTCAGCACCGGCACAGAGAGGTGTCTGTCGCCAGCTGCCACAGGTGAGCGGCTGTGGAAGGCAGCAGGCAGGCCCACCCTAGCCGGGAGGGCAGCTCCTCCCCATTGTTCTGGGCCGGGTGTGGCCGCCAGCGCTGGAGTTGCCAAAGTGCACTGGAAACCAGGCAAACACTCACAAACTCAGCCCGGTTTCCACTCACGTCACTGCAGCCCGACCTCCCGGCCCAGCCCAAACCCGAGGCTCCCGAACACCTTTCTTTGCCTCGCCCCAGAGGCCCCAAGCCGACCATCAGCACCACGCTTGGCTTGCTCTTTCAAGTGCAAAACAGCTCAGCAGGGCCCTGAGGAGCACAGGTCTGCTCCGTAAGTGCCCACTGGCTGGCATGAGGTGGAGCCTGGAGCCAGGCTGCTCACCCAGGACACCCCCAAAGGGGCCTGGGGAAGACAAAACCTTTAGGTTCTGTGTCATGATTATTTCAGCGTAAATTAACGTGAACTCAGAAAGTGGCGATGCTAACACTTTTTTACTACTACAAACCAGATTAAGTGCATTTCTGTGTAATCACTAAAAGTTTGAAGATTTAAGTACATCAGAGCAGGGTTGAGTCCTGGTTCTGCCACCTTCCAGCTGTGTGACCTTAGGCAACTTACTAAGCCTCTCTAAGTCTCAGTTTCCTCATCTGTAAAATGGAAGTAAACAGTATCTACCTTAAAAAGACATTGTGAGAATTCAGTAAAGTAGAAAACACTTGCAAAACATTTAGTGCAAGGACACGTATAAAGTGGGCACTCAGTAAATGGATGTTATTAACAGATATAATAAATGGCCTCCTCTGTGCAGCTCCCACCTGCACAGAGGTGAAAATGTGGGAAGGTGGCAAGGTCATGATTTTAAATAAGCAGGGAGGGCCTCACTGGGAAGGTGATGTTTCAGCAAAGACCTGAAAGAGGCGAGGGAGTGAGCAATGAGGAAAGGGGGCAAGAGTGTTCTAGACAGGGCACAGCAAGTGCAAAGCCCCTGAGTCAAAAGTGTGCTGGTGAGCGCGAGGAACACACAGGAGGCCAGTGCGGCTGCAGTGGGGTGAGGGAGGATGAGAGGGCTCAGGGATGAGGTCAGGGAGGGACTGGTGCCAGATCAGAATGGCCTTAGAGACCCGTTAGCCTTTCCTCCAAGATGAGGAGCCACCGGAGGATTCTGAGTAGAAGAGTGACCCGATTTGACTTTTTTTTAAAAAAGTATTTCTTTAAAAAAAAAAAAAACCTGGCTGCTGGGTTGAGGAGAGGATGCAGTGGGCAAGGGCAGGGGCAGGAGAGCAGTCAGGTCCAGGTGAGAGTGGGTAGCACCAGGGTGCGGGGGAGGCGGGGAGAAACAGCAGGATTCTGGGACTATTGCCATGATACTGCTATTAGAACTTGGTGGTGAACTAGACGTGAGATATGAAAGAAAGGAGTGAGTCAAGGATGACTTTAAGGTTGTTGCCCTGAGCAACAAGAATGGAGTTGCCATTTACTAACAAAGGAAAAACTGGGATGAACAGGTTGGGATGGAGGCGTGGGGAACACTAGGTTCATCTCTGGATAAGCTCAGTTTGAACCGCCCAGTAGAAAGCCGAGTGGAAATGTCATGCAGTTGGATGTATCAGTCCAGAGTCAACGGGGGAGGTCCAGGCTGGGTAAACAAATGTGTGAATTATCAGTGCTTGAAGGTAATCAAAGCCACAAGACTGGACGAGATCACCAAGGTCCAGAGGTCTGAGGACGGAGCTCCGGGCCCCGCAGGACAGGAACTGGAGGATGAACCAGCAAAGGAGACAGAGCTGGAGCAGCCAGTGAGAGAGGAGGAAAGGGTGGCATGTGGGAAAGGAGGTCCAAGAAGGCAGTGACCAACCACGTCCCACAGCGTGGAGAGGCAAAGGGTTCATGAGGACCAAGAACTGGCCATTTGGTCTGTAAGTGGAGGCCACTGGTGATCCTTCTAGAGCTCTTGGAGTGACGGGGAGGGGGCCAGGCTTGACGAGAGTGGGCTCAAGAGAGAACAGGAAGAGAGTGATGTTCTGGCAACAGTGAGCGCAGGCAACTCTGTGGAGGGTTTTGCTAAAAAGAGGAGGAGAGAAGTGGAACAGTAGCTGGAGACGGGATGTGAGGTCAAGAGGATTTTCTTTAAGTTGAGAGAAATAACAGCATGACTGTAGGAAAAACAGGTCATGCAGATGGGATGGGGAGAAGTGGCGGGGCAATGTCCTTGAGTAGGCGAGAGGAGGGATCTGTGTATGTCCGTCCTCTCCCTCTTGGCCTGGCTAACTCCTACTCATCCCTCAAGGGTCAGCGTAAAGGTCGCTTTCTCAGGGAAGTTTCCCTGACCCCTCCATTAGGTCACTGCCCCACTATCCCCGTTCATGGTACATACTGCCTGTGCTTCACGGCACTCAGGTAAGCCCGGTGAGGGCAGGTCTGGCTCTGTCCTGTTTGCAGCTGTATCTCCAGCAGCCAGCACCCTACCTAGCAGATCACAGATGTTTGATGGCTATCTGTTGAAGAGTGAATGGTCCAAGAATAGAAACAAATCCAGGACACATGTCTGTTTTCTGTTCCCGCCTGGTTTAATCACGTTGCAGTGATCAAGACCATGCGGTTACTGGCTGTTGCAAATATTTGGATTTAGAAGAGCTCAGTTGTTTGTTCCTGTTTGGGCTCTGTAGCTTGGCTAACACACAGACCAAAGCCACGTGACGAGACATATCCTTCCATTGACACTGTCCACCACAAACTGAACACACTCCAGATTATGTCTAGCAATTCATTCATTTGATGCATATTTGCCAAAAGCCTGCTGGGTACAGCATCCCGTGGATTAGAGGACTGAATGAGACACAGTGCCTGCCCCCATGAAGCACAGGGTCGAGCAGAGGCAATCACACAGGACTCCAGTTCATCACAAGTATGATAGGCATTACAAGGGACAGTCCAGGGGGTTATGAACACGGAGAATGGGGAGACTTAACAGTCTGAGGAGTGGGAGGCAGAGGAGAAGGGAGATCCGACAACCCGGCCTCTGCCTCCCCTCCCCAGCCTCAGGCTGCCCTCAGGTGGACCCCAGGCTCCAGGCCAGCAGCTCAGCAAGAGGGCTCTGGGCATTGGAGCTGGCTGCAGGAGTGGCAGGGCCATGGCCTCCTGCCTTCAGATGCTCCAGTCCCCTCCCTTTTCCTCTCTACCTCTGCTGGTGAGGGCAGGGCTGGCTCTGTCCTGTTTGCAGGACCTGCCTTTCTCCTTCTGTTGCTTCCAGAAGGGCTGCCTCCTGAAGCTGCATTTTTGGAAAGATCTGCCTGGAGAGAAGGCTGAGCTCATTTATGGCACAGGGCGCTGGCAGGGACAGGACCGTTACTGAGTCTCCCCTTCTGTTTACTTTCAGGTTTTCATAGGCTCTGTTCGCAAAGAACCACCATTTTGCAAGGACCATGAGGCCACTGGGCGTGACATGCTGGTGGCTGGGACTGCTGGCCGCCATGGGAGCCACTGTGGGCCAGAAGGAGGCTTTTGAAGGCACTGAGGAGGCCTCACCAAGTGAGTACATTTACCTGAACAGGTACAAGCGGGCCGGTGAGTCCCAGGACAAGTGCACCTACACCTTCATTGTGCCCCAGCAGCGGGTCACAGGGGCCATCTGCGTCAACTCCAAGGAGCCTGAGGTGCTCCTGGAGAACCGGGTGCACAAGCAGGAGCTGGAGCTGCTCAACAACGAGCTGCTCAAGCAGAAGCGACAGATTGAGACGCTGCAGCAGCTAGTGGAGGTGGACGGCGGCATCGTGAGCGAGGTGAAGCTGCTGCGCAAAGAGAGCCGCAACATGAACTCGCGAGTCACGCAGCTCTACATGCAGCTCCTGCATGAGATCATCCGCAAGCGGGACAACGCGCTGGAGCTCTCCCAGCTGGAGAACAGGATCCTCAACCAGACGGCCGACATGCTGCAGCTGGCCAGCAAGTACAAGGACCTGGAGCACAAGTACCAGCACCTGGCCACGCTGGCCCACAACCAGTCGGAGATCATCGCACAGCTCGAGGAGCACTGCCAGCGGGTGCCCGCCGCCAGGCCCGTGCCCCAGCCACCCCCCGCCACCCCGCCCCGGGTCTACCAGCCGCCCCCCTACAACCGCATCATCAATCAGATCTCCACCAACGAGATCCAGAGCGACCAGAACTTGAAGGTGCTGCCACCACCCCCTCTGCCCACCATGCCCACCCTCACCAGCCTCCCGTCCTCCACAGACAAGCCGTCGGGTAAGTCCTTCCGGGAGCCCGCTCCATCTGGGCCTCACAGCCAGGCGCCAGGCTTCCCTTGGCTGTGACCACAAGTGGGGGAAAAGCCACGGCAAGCTGAAGCCTGGCCAACAGACTTGTGCAATCCCCCAGCAGTCCCTTGGGCCAAGCTGCTGGAGCTGGTGGGGTGAGAGGGGGACCACATTCCTTAGAAAGATGCTCCAAGGTAGACGACCCAGGGAAAAGGGGGAGTCTCAGAAGAGAACAGATGTTCTCTGCCTTCTGATAGGAAAGAACCCCAGGCCTGTAGCTTGTGGGGTTCTGCACTAGATGGTCTGTGTTGGCAAGGAGCATCCCTCTCCTGCAAGCTCTTGTACTGTGCCTGGCACAGAACTGGCATTCGGTAAATGCTCACCAAGGAAACAGGCCAAAGGAAAAGTGTTATCACAGGAAAAGTATGATAAACACACTCGGGGCTGGGGGGTGGGGAGCACTTTCTAAAGCCCACACATTTCCTAGAGTCTGCTGCTGTCTAGAATTTTCAATGATTACTCCATATGCTCTTAAATACACGTTTCATCTTAAACTATGCTAATTCTCAGAATATTATTATGGTGGGGGAAAGGGGTTTTGAAGCTTGACCAAGACCCTGGCGCTGGGCACTTTCACATATATTACATTATTTACATCCTTAACTCCTGAGCTCCTGAAGGAAGGTTTACTGAGAGGTTGAGTGACTTGCGCACAGTCTGAGGATCCTCAGGCTGGATTTGAATTCAGGCCTTTTCACTTTAAATCTAGGGCTGACTCCTCTGTGCTCTAAGACTCTGGGGGACCAGGAGCCCAGCCCCCTGAAGCTCAGCCTCTCATTCATCCAGGACCCTGTGAGCCTTCCACAAACGGGCTGTCCTGTGAGAACTAGACTCATCTTCGTGAAAACTAACCACATATCTGCTCCAAGTCAGTGATTTTGGTACCACTTCACTGTATAAGCAGGGAGATATTTTTACTGAAAATATCCTGTTTTACACTTATTTCACACTTCTGAAAATAACCACTGGTACTGGGAAGAGCAGCTTCTTGCTAATTCCAGAGAGGGGCTGAACCTGAGTGCAAGAGGGTGGCCTGTGCAAAAGACAAGGGAGGCATTGTCTGCAGGTCCGTGGGGGGACGGGAGCTGGGCACGGGGTACAGCACCTTGCAGGAAAGCCCTCTGCTGGGTGTACGGGTTGAAAACGAGCTTTGGAGCAGACCAACTGGATTCAGATTCTGCTTCCCCCACTGCTTAGCTCTGGGATATTAAGCAAGTCACTTTGCCCCTCAGAGCCTCAGTTTCCTCATCTTTCAACTGGGGACAGATTAAAATAGTGCCTACCTGAGGATTAAACGAAATACTGAAAAAAATGTGTTTAGCATGGTGCTGGGCCCGTGGTAAGTTTCAGTACATGGTAGCTGTGAGTCCCCTTCGGTCTTGGTCTCTTCATCTTGAAACAAGGAAATTGAAATAAATAAACAGTCCCTTTTTAGCTCTGGCATTCTACAGTTAATGACTGGTTCATCTGTACATGTGTCTGTTTTAAATCAGAAGCTCCAAAAGAGAGGGCAGAGTGTACTAATAGGTCTTTTTTTTTTTTTTAAAGATTTTATTTTTTCCTTTTTCTCCCCAAAGCCCCCCAGTACATAGTTGTGTATTCTTCGTTGTGGGTTCTTCTAGTTGTGGCATGTGGGACGCTGCCTCAGCGTGGTCTGATGAGCAGTGCCATGTCCGCGACCAGGATTCGAACCAACGAAACACTGGGCCGCCTGCAGCGGAGCGCACGAACTTAACCACTCGGCCACGGGGCCAGCCCCGCTAATAGGTCTTGATAGCAGACTCAGCAGGTAAAGCAGGCCCCTGGACACCAAATGAAGGCTCCGCTGACTGTTATTATAATCCTGACGTGAGTCAGGCTCAGTGGTACCCAATACATCTCTTCTTGCCTGAACATCTCTGGTTTCTGACTCAACAATTTCAGGACGTTCCTGAGCTAATAGATATATAGTGTAGGAATAACGACCGAGGTTTGCACCTATCCCTTGTTAGCTGTTTGCTCATGAGAAAGTTACTTAACTCCTCTGAGCCTCAATTTTCTCCTCTGTAAAGTGGGGACAAGAGTCATACTATCACAGGGTTGCTGTGGAAACTCAATGCAATCAGGCATGTGGTATTATGTCACATGGGGCAGCCAACAATGGCTGAGCCCCTACTCTGTGCCAGTCACACAGCTAAAGCTGGGGAGGCAGGTGAAAACTATGATCTCTGACCTTCAGGAACTCAGGATGGGGAATGTGGCAGATGCATGAAGGCACTGGGATCCATCCAGTACACACCAGTTCCATCCCCTAAAATCAGCACATCAGGTCTGACAAAGGATTTCTCTGAGAGGGAGCATCTGCCAAGGCCAAAACGTCCAGAATGAGAGAATTTATGGGACCACCATAACAAAGTAGCTGAAATCAGGAATGCAGTGAAAGCCATGGCTGTGGTCCCCGTGTGCTCGGAGTCCTGCAGAGGGGCAAATGAGGGGCTGTGGGGACACTGGGTGGCACGACTGAGTCTCTCTGAGGGGAAAAGCTGGACAGAGGCAGGGACTTCAGTGTTGCATCTTGAAGGATTTGTAAGAGTCTCCCAGGCAGACTTGGGCGTGGGGAAACTGAATTATTAGTGGGTCCCTGATGAGATGGGGCCACGTGAGGACCCAGCGGCACGGCCCGACTCTTGGTACCTCGAATGGTTTGGATCCCCTGCTTCTTCACGTTCACGATCCAGCGTGGGCTGCGTGCATCCTAAGGTTCCTGTACGCACCCAACCTGCCTTCTCTCCCACTTGAGAAAGCACATCTTCCTGGAGGGAATGGCAGTGATTTTTATTATGGAGAGAACCTAAGTCGTTATAAGTTACCTTTTTTTTTTTTTAAGTAAAGCCCTCTCAAATGTTGGTACTGATTGTCAGTAACAGTTTCCTTGTGACCCATGGCACTGCTGAGCTCCCAACAAGGCTGTGCCCAGCGGGGACTGAGCACCCGGCTGTGAAGCTGAATGGGTAGGCGGAGCCCTGAAGAGGGTGTCCCAGGAGGGCCCTGCCCTTTCCTGGTGTTGGACAAGCTGAAAGGAAAAGGCAGATGGTCTCTGTCAGCCAATCAGCAGAGAGCTCTTATCAGGCCTGTTTGGAGAGCTTGGGGCAGGTTCTGGTCCTGGAAGACACAGCCTTCCTCTGTGCTCTCGCCCAACAGATTCTTTGTCCCAGGGACATCCCTCGGCCAGAAACACCTTTGCAATTAAACACCTGTGCACTCACGCCTTGGCAGCTTCTCACTCTTTCATTCCACAACCTCGGAGCCATCTGCTCCTTTCCTCATTGTCTGGGACACTCAGCCCACAGCACGCCCTTCCCCAGGAAAGTGAGGGAGCCATGGCCGCTTATCTGAAGCTGCAGTCACCAGCTTGTTCCCAGCCAGACAGTAACAGGCTGGCCCCAGGCCAGGCCCAGGCCTCTGAGAGCCAGAGTGAGGGAGGCCCAGGCAGCTCCTGGCTCCCCTGGCATCTTGCTTGGGTTTTGTCCTGTCTCTCTCAGGTCTGGCCAGACCTGGGGACATTTCAGTTAGGATGATGTTTGTGATGAGGCCTGGGGCAAACGGCCCTGCCTGTGGCCCTCTCTTCTGAGGGTCCTGCTGCTGCTCTCCCTTCCTCTCCACTCTTTCTTACATTCATACATTCTTCACCACCTGGGTACCCTTGACATACACACATACACACACACACCTGTCGACCAGGTCTGTTAAAGAGGAAGGCTGCAGGGGTCCCTCTCTAAGACGCAAAGCAAAGGACAGGATGGAGCCTCAGGATGGTTCTGGGAGGCCTGGGACACTATTCCTCAGCTCAGCCCAGGCACAGCCACGCACATGCCAGCCCTCCTGCCACAGTGCCTATCCAGGAGACTGATCAAAGAAAAGGCAGTGCTACCACCAGCTGCCACAGCGAGGCTTTGTCTGAAATGAATCTTCAAAAACCAAAAAGAGTAAGCATTTCTAGCTGTTTTCTCTCCTGAGAAAAAGAACACAGTCAGTTCAATTTGTTTCTCAATCGATAAAGATGGTGCCATAAAATCAAAAAATATTAGAGCTTGTTAAAGGCCTCAGACCCCCTGGCACAGATTTCCTGTCCCAGAGCCTATCAGTGGCAGAGCCAAGATTGGTCCCTGAACTTGTAACTTCCAGGATATTGAGGTTCAGAGAGGTTAAGTAACATAGCCAAGATTACACAGCTAGTAAGTGGCTCAGCCAAGGCTCAAACCCAAGTCTGTCTTAACCACTCTGAGATTATTGCACATTTCCATGGAAAGGCTGGAGGGGAACTGGTGTGAAAATCACTCTATAAATGCTTGACTTGGCCCCAGGCGCCAGCTGCCTGGGACCTGACCCTCTACCACTATTTCATGTACCAGGTTCCAAGCAGCTCCTTGTAAAAGAGCTCTGGGAACAGAGTCGGTGGATTTGTTATTAGAACTCTCAAGGTTCTAAAAACACAAGACGTCACTGCGAGCCCACTAACGTCGTGCCGCCCCCTCGACACGGTCTAGGAGGAACCAGCGGAACCAACTGCCTGGGGCCAGCCCACTAGTCACAGAAACGCACTGCTGTGGTGAATTTGTGTGGTAGACTGTGTCCTAACCCTGAGATCACACTCACACACACACACACACACACACACACTCACACAAAGATAAAGCAGAATTACAACAGCATCACACTACAGTATCTAAAACAACAGAGCTCGCCTCTCCCACAGAAAACATAGTATGCTCCCAACTGCTGGTAAGCAGGTCCAACTGAAGCTGCAGATAAATCTGATTTTTAATTTATATCAAAACGGGACACATTCTCTGGATTTACTTCTACTCAACATTTAAACATATAGCTAAGTTGGAAGTCCTGATTTCTTTAAATATGTTAACTCTAAATATATGAAAATCAGTAGCTATG